GGGTGGTACTGCACAGAAGTTGATTCAGTTTTGACAATGTTGTTTAGCTATCATTTGCTATTTTGAATGAATGGGAGCAATCCCCCTTTTTACAACAGTTGTTTCCTATTATGGAGAGGTGCAGCAGTTGAGGGCAGACATGTGAAAGTGGCTGTTTGATTCCCTTTTTCATCCCTCTGACCCTGCCTTTGTCCCTCCTCACCCTGGGAATGTCACGCCTCACTACTTCACTTTGAGATGCTCTAGAAAGTGGCTTTGTTATTCCCTTTTAGACATACACGAAATTGTTCTCATTCCCCCTGCTGTAAAAGATACTTCAAATTGGGACTCGGTTCACAAGTGCAATGCAATTTGGCTTAGCTCAACCTTTGTTCTGCTTGTACAAATGACCAAACAGTGCACACATTATACAGTTGATCTACTGCTCCCTTTACACCAGAGTTAGGGGCTGGGAGAAAAGCAAGTTAATCCCTTCAATACTAAGGTGGCATTTTCAATATTTCCTACAATGTGAAAAAGAGAAGAGAGGGTTGCCTGAAATGCGACATTTATTTAAAAGAGAAGATTAAAAAAGAGAAAGTTTGCGAGGCCTCACCTGGAACTTCTCTAAATAAATAAATAAATAAGCAAATAAACGAATCAACAACCCCTGTAAGTTCCAAGACATGCTCGGGGAAGGAAAGACTTTCCTGGAGAGCCTGGCTTTGAACACACTAACCTGGAGCTCAAGGGGGGSCCGCGGCAACAGAACGGGGCTCAGGCACCCCTCGGGTACAGGCGCCGGCGGCTGGGAGCGGGGGGGCGCGGAGGCTGCGCATCCGCGCGGGCAGTTTGCAGCTAGCCCCGGCGGCAGGTGGAGCGCRCAAGGTAGCGCGGCTTCGCCCGGACCCCGGCCCGCTGGGACGGACGAGCCCTCTCCAGGCCCGGGGAAGCTGGAGCCGAGGGCAGGGAGCATCAGACTCGAAGGCAGGCGGGGAACGGGCCCGTCGGCCCCACCACCTGCGGTCGAAGGAAGGTGGCCTGAAGCGCGCCGCAACCGAGCAAGGGCCCAGGCCGTTGGCGGTGCTCGAAGGCCCGGCGGGGCAGGCGGGCARGACGCGGGGACCCCGGGCGGCGGCGAGGCCAGGTCCGGGGCCACCGCCGGGCCGAGCCCGCCCCGCGGGCACAAAGGGCCCCGCACAGCCAGGGAACGGGGTTTGAGGAGCAAGTCTCGCTGCGCGCTGACAGGCAGGGCGAGTTTGTTTAGTGCTCAGCGCGAAAGGAACAAAATCCCTTTGAAAGGCGCTAAGCACTTTCACGCCAAAGTGGCAGATTTGGGAAAGAATGTGCGACGGGACAAAGGCGGCCACGCTGCGGCGCGGTTCCCAGCGCGGCGCTCCGCACCCGCGTCCAGGGGCAGCGCGGCGCCCGGCGCGCCCTGCTCCCCACCGGTCCCCGGGAAAACGGAACCGCTACAATAAATACATAAATTAATAAATAAAAATCAGAGAGCGAGGCTCAGGCGAAAGACGGACGCGAGCGGCAGCCCGGAGTTGACTTTGCAAAACGGGGAAGCTCGCTCCGAGCGCGGCATTGTGTCGCGCAGCCTAGGAAACTCTAAGAAGCGGGTACTTCCCCCCTCGCTTCTCTTTTCTCCCAACTGGTTTGTAAATATTAACAAGGTTGTGCGAGCTATTCTTTGGCACCGCGCGGATTTCTTTTTTCTTTTTCTTTTTTCTTTTTTTTCTTTTTTTTTTTTTTTTTTTTTTTGTATCCCTGGAAAACTTCTTGGCTTCTCCCCAGCCCTTCTCGCACTCCTCCTCTCTGCAAAAAGCACACCTGCCGCCAGCCACAAGGATTCAAAATCAATATTGTATTTGTCACTTTTCTGTCTGCTTTTCCTCTCTCAACAGCCCCGTTTGCCACTGAAGCGAATTGTGGATTTATGGAGGAAAATTAGCATAAATTATTACCAAATCTGTAAACGTGTGTGGTCCTCCTTGTGGGAAAGGGGGCTATTGCGAACCTTCCATGCAGAAAGGTGGTCCGCGCCGGGTTCCTTGGAGAGACTGAATGGCTATTGCACGAAATAGATTTCCATTAGGTTTGCACATTGATATAATTGACTTATGTGTATTTTATACAGTTTTCCCAATACTTCCACTTCTTGCTTGAATTAGGCTTCAGAAAAACGTCTATTTGTTTTGGTTTTCTGTACAATGGATTTAGATTCACTTTGCAAGCATTCTTCTCGCCCCCTCTCCTCCTCTCATATGTCGGCTTTCGAAGTAAAAGGCAAAAGCTACAAGTTACCCTTAAACCCTCTATTGCCCAGCTCTGTCATGTGTTGCGTGTCATCTGTACGACAAGGTGAAACTTCGGGTCCGAGCGGCGGGGGCGCTTAGCGGACCCGAGCCCCCCCGCACACATTCCCCTGCATGGGGGAATCGGCCGCTTTCAACACCCCTCAATGGCATTCGCGGCACCAAACGACAACGGAAGTCGTGTTTTCTTTAACTTTACAGCTTAGAGGTTCCCGTTTGCGCTGGGACACGCCGTTAGTGGTTTTTTTTTTCCTTTCTTCCTTTCCTCAAAAGTAAATGATACCAGCAAAAGGAAGAAGAAAAGAATCTGTCAGCCTGTGGGGTTTAGCCCGTGCTRCTCCTGAGCTCTCGTTTGCACGAGGATTCCAAGAATGACCTGGGCTGAAACACAAATTCCAATCGAGGGAAAAAAAAGTGTATATGGGGGTCCTTAAACCTACTTACTTGGGGGTTCGTATTACGAAGCCATCAGCCCGCTGCCTTGGGGGACATGGGAGGAATTCGTACTGTCCTTGCTAAACTCCTAAGGGGCCCAGGAGTGGCTCCCCGCCGGCCGCCTTGCACGCAGAGGGCATATCCTCCTGCCCTGTCCTGCCCTGCCCGGCTCGCTCGCAGCTCAGCAGCCCCGCAGCTCGGAGCCCTGTTTTGCGCAGGGGACACGAGGCGAGTCGCCGTTTCCTCCCCGGCTCTCGCTAAACGGCACCGTACCGGCCTGGGACCGAGGGCAGCCGCAGTGCAACGAGGGCGACCTCCTTTAGCGACCACACGTCGGGTTTAGGTGCGGCGGCAGAAGCGCTTTCCATCCGTGGCGGGAGTTCAGGGAGCCCCGCTCGATGAGAAGTGTCCCCCAGCGCGGCCGCTAATCCGCACGCAGAGCCACCTCGCAGGCGCCCGCTCCGCGCAGCCAGCCCGAGCGGGCGCTCCCTCCCCCATGCCGCCTATTTTTGCTGAATTAAGAAGGTGACATTATTCTTTTCTTCAAGTACTTCTGTTAATATTGAAAAACGTGCGCTTGCATTTCAAGCGGGCGCGCTCAGCCCCGGTAGCCATTTCAATATTAATGAAATTGTTTAATCTCCTAAATTCATCGTGTTTAAGTTACGTTTTGGTGAGTTATTGACCAGCTCCGAAAATATTGTTAATGGAGTGGTTGTGTATTCACAAAGGATTTTTTTTTCAGGGCTTGCCGTTCCTTGAGCCTATCCTTCATTCTGGCTCCAACGCGGCAGGATGCGCTCGGGAATACCCATCGCAGCAACGTGCCCCACCTTGCCTGGGCACCTGGCACCGCGGGTCCCGAGGCTGCTCCCCGCGGCCGCCTGGCAGCTAGGCGCTTGGCGGAGCGGCAGCCTCGGGATCGGGCCGGGSCGCCGGGGAAGGACGTGGTGCAGAGAAGGGGGCCGCTAGAGTGCTGGATACCCTGGCCACCCCCGCGGGAGCGGAGGCGCAGCGGACAGGAGCCTGCGCGGGGTCCACGCCCGGCCRGCTCGAAGTCGGCTTTCACGCTTTAGCCCCGCCGGGCTCGGGGACGTGCTCCGAGGCGCGGGCTGAGCGGGAAGCTSTGCCCGGGCGGGACGGAGCAGAGGCAGAGGCTCGGCTGCAGATGGCCAAGAGAAAGTCTCTCCTTACAGGAAAACGACTCGCCTTAAGTTAGCCAACAATACAAATCAGGTACAATACAGAACAAACAGAATACCAGAGCCGGGCCATTTCCATGTCAAACACCCCCCCTGCTCGGAAGCTCCTTTGGTACGTGTGAATTGAAGCCCAGGCTTCCTGAGCGGTGCGCAGCGAGGTTAGCGCGGACCTTCCCCGCGGCCGCTACTGGCTCCCGGCGCGCTGCGATCCCGCTCGCGGAGCCTCTGCATCCCTCGCCTTGTCTTCAAATGGAAATGATTCCTATTGGCCTAAGGTGTCCATGTAAATAGGTGTAAATGAAACCAGATTATGCCTTTCTCTGCAGCCCCCTCCTCCCGCTCCCCTCCCCCTCCTCCCAAGGCGATTGTCATATGATAGCGAAGAAGTGGCACATTAATGAAGCGCCTCTACAGGGGTCTTTTCTGCTCATGTCACCACATAAAACTATCAGATGGTTAGAGGAAGGACATGGAGGCAACTACTTAGCTCATCTCAGCTGCAGAGAAGCAAACAAGCCCCCGCTACAGCCCGGCTGCCGGGGGTGTAAAACAAGCTGATTCAGCCCGCGGAGTCGAGGGAGGGGTGTACGGGAGGATTCCCCAAACCGAGCCTGGCGCTGTCTCCTCGGGACTAAACGGAGCAGCGGCCGCGCAAGGAGGAGCGCCGCAGGACCGCGCCGGGAAACAGCCTCGACTCCCAGCTCCGTCCCGGATGCAGACTGACAACTTCCAGCAACTTTAAGGTGGGCAGATGTAGGGGCGGCATGGGGCGGGGGAGGGAGAGGCGGAGGGGAGAGGAAGGGAAGGAAAGGGAAAGAGAGGAGTCCCCTTCTCCTCCTTCCCAAGACCAAGAGGCAAAGGTAGTGCTCTGGTAATTCGGCGGGCTCCGGGCTGCGCGAGGCTGGGCCGGGGAGGATCCGGCGCTTCCCGGCGGCGCGGGGCTCTGCTCGGCCCCGGAGCGCCCCTTCTGCGTGTCCCCTCCCTGCGCCCCGGCCGCGCGTCTGGGCAAACCCTCCTGGGCTCACCCGCCCCCTCCCCGTGGCTGCCCCTCTGCAGATCTCTGCGGCTCCCCTAGCGAAGATGCCTCGCCCGGGCAGAAACACCTACAGTGACCAGAAGCCTCCCTACTCCTACATCTCCCTGACCGCTATGGCGATCCAGAGCTCCCCGGAAAAGATGCTGCCCCTGAGCGAGATCTACAAGTTCATCATGGACCGCTTCCCCTACTACCGAGAGAACACACAGCGCTGGCAGAACTCCCTGCGCCACAACCTCTCCTTCAACGACTGCTTCATCAAGATACCGCGGCGCCCCGACCAGCCAGGCAAGGGCAGCTTCTGGGCGCTGCACCCCAGCTGCGGGGACATGTTCGAGAACGGCAGCTTCCTGCGCCGCCGCAAGCGCTTCAAGGTGCTCAAGTCGGAGCACCTGGCGCCCAGCAAGCCGGCCGACGCGGCGCAGTACCTGCAGCAGCAGGCCAAGCTGCGCCTCAGCGCGCTGGCCGCCACCGGCACCCATCTGCCCCAGATGTCCACCTACAACCTCGGCGTGTCCCAGCCCTCCAGCTTTAAGCACCCCTTCGCCATCGAGAACATCATCGCCAGAGAGTACAAGATGCCCGGCGGACTCGCCTTTTCCACCATGCAGCCCATGCCGGCCGCCTACCCCCTCCCCAACCAGTTGACTACGGTGGGCAGCTCCATTGGCACGGGCTGGCCGCACATGTACAGCTCCGGCATGATCGACACCGCCACCCCCATCTCCATGGCCAGCAGCGAGTACAGCGCGTACGGCGTGCCCATCAAGCCGCTCTGCCACGGGGGGCAGACTCTGCCGGCCATTCCGGTGCCCATCAAGCCAACCCCCGCGGCGGTGCCGGCGCTGCCCGCGCTGCCCGCGCCCATCCCCACCATCCTCTCGAACTCGCCGCCCTCCTTGAGCCCCACGTCCTCGCAGACCGCCACCAGCCAGAGCAGCCCGGCCACCCCCAGCGAGACTCTCACGAGCCCGGCGCCCGCCCTGCACTCGGTGGCGGTGCACTGACCGCGGCCCCCGCGCCCTCCAAGTTTCCTCGCCACCCCCCTCCCGCTTCGCTCCTGCCTTCCTCTTCTCGCCTTCCCCGCTCTCCTCTTCTCCCTGCGAGCAGCGACGACGCCCCGCGCGAAGACGGGACTCGGCCGTCCATGTGAGCAGCTCTTGGCCGCGCTGTCGCGCAGCGTCCCGCGCTGTCGCGGCCGCAGGGCAGACTGCGCTCTGAGGGGCGCGAACCCCAACTGCCCCCGCAGTCCCACCTCTCCCGAGGCGCCTCAGGCACCGCGCTGCTGCGGCCAGTCCGGCGGAGCCGCGCCCGGCCCTGCCCGCTTCTCCCTTTGTCTGGCCAAGGGCAACCTTTCTACACGGGACCGCTCGTTAAAAGCGGAGACAGAGYGAGGGAGCTGCAGTCCCCGGCACGAGCGCAGCGACGCTTCCAGCCTCCAAGAAGCAAAGCGCGGGCAACGTCGAAGCGCCGGACAAGACGCGCTCGCCTTGCGCGTGTGCCYGCGCCTTGCTGCTCAGCACCCGCCTCGCTCCGAGTACCGGACTGGTGCCTACACGGGGAGGCCCGGGGCGCCCGCTGCGGCACCTGGGCTACCGGGAGCGCTGCCTGAAGCCCGCAGGCGGAAGGGAGAGAGAAGTTAACGGCTCTGGTGAACTCTRAGCAACTGTAGGGTTTGGGGAGCTGGGGGTTATTTTCCAATTTTGTAGCTATCTACTTCAGCCCTTAAAAACTACTTAATAATAAAAACCAATGTGCTACCAAGCACAAGAGCCAGCACAGCTTAGAAAAGCCGCCCCGGCCCCCAGCACACAGTGGAGATGCAGCAGGTGCCAAGTGCGCAGGGTCCGGAGCGCTGCGGCGCCGCGCGAGGGGCTGCGCAAACTGTAAATGCTTGTCTATAGGAATGAAGAGAACATGTGTAAAACGCACTTTTGTTTGATATTCTCCTTTCTAGTTTTAGGTAGTTTGCTGGAAACTGAACTGTTGTTCTGTTGTGAACTGCTTAAATTAAGGGAAAAAAAAAAAAGAAAAAAAATACCCACAAAACGCGTCAGTGTCTATCGAAGCTGTAAAGAAATTCCTTTTTAAACTTTTCTTTTTCCTGTACAGAATACGCATGACATTTTAAATATGCTGTTCTTGTTCCTAGCATGTATGTTTTAAGACAAAGGTTTAAAAAAAGTGTCTACGTTAAATTATGAACCTAGTCGTCCAAATAATATTTTCTCATTAAAATATGTAAATGCAGATTTAGTTTCTTATTTGTCTTTTGGAAGAGTTTACATGAGAAAATGGCATTAGTTCGTGAAAAAGGAACGTCATTATTTCAATATTTAGATAATCTATAGCATATTCACATGAGGTTGCTATAAAAACAACAATTCACATGTTAGACAAAACAGTCTTTATCGGTGAGTTACCGAGGAAATAATATAWTTTTTTTTCTGTGTTTTGCCTATATATATTCATGCATATATGCATTTTGATATCATATACAACGATACTGAATATATACACACACTGCATAAATGCATGTGTGGGTGCAGATTTATTGCTTGCTTACTCCTAGTTAGATTTCTCTAGGATGGATAAAAATCAGTGAAATTTTACAATATAGGGTGAACAAAAACCAACCAAACAAAAACTAACAAAAAATACAAAAAAAAAAAAAACCTAACAAAAGAAAACTTGATTTTTTTTAACTTTTAAGGCTCTGGATATTAAATTTTTGTCTTTTTTTTTTTTTYTTTTYTTACAAGCAAGAGGCATACAAAAACCTCTTTTTTTTTTTCTAGGTTAAACCCAGAAAACTGCAGTCTTTTAGTTGTGATTTATGTCTCCTAAAGCAGGATTAATTAATTCAACTACTGTTATTATTTCCTCCTCTTTATTAATCATGGTTTTTAAAAGTGGCAGGTTGGAAGCTCTAACACTGAACAGTTTATTCATTTTTCTGTAAACCAATATAGTGCCACTTTTTAAAAGTAAGGTCAATGCAGTGACAAGGGAACTTGGACCCCGAGCACCTTCCTAGGGGGGCTCTTCTATTCTTGCAGGGATCTTGCAGGGATTCTGCAATTGTGGGAAAAGATACAGGTAATCTAGCGAAATTAGTAAATTGGTCTGCACTAACAAAACAGTCATAGGACAACCGGATACTTAAAGGCTTATTAAAAAGGAACCACCATTGTATTCTAATGAACGCAGAGGCTTCGCTAATTCTACCTCCGGGATTTGAAGGAGATTTATCCCTGCCTGATCGCGATMTGAATTTCTGGACCATAAACAGAGCAAGTAGCACCCCCGTTTCTCTCACTACTTATAGCGAGAGTTTTCAGATTCGTGTAGAGAGCAATTAATCCGGTTGCGATTTTTTTTTTTTAAGAGGATGGATCCCACACACAGGAGGGAAAAAAAAGGTGGAAAATACATGAATCATTGGGCTGATTAAAATGCATGAAGCTGCTAAAGCTTGTCAGATGGGGGACAACTGAACTCATTCATCAAGTCCAACCCACGATTATATCAACACGATCAGCTAAAGAAAGCACTCAAAACTTATCACCAGATCAATGGACACATAACTCGAGAAACTTTTCTTAAATAGGCGACGACCTACATTTTTAAGCGAGGAGGATTTTCTTCTTTGCCTTCCTATGTCCTAAGACATAGCAGTTAGATCCTCAAAGACGAAATGAGAGCTCGGCTAAGAAGATGAAGCCGCGCTTTTAAAATTCTCCAGTAATCAGCTGAGATAATGAGCTGAAAAGCCTGTGCCCCAAAGCTGAAAAGCGGGAGCTTCCTCGCCCCGCAGCGCGCTCGGCGGCTCCGCGCACACTTGTCCCGCGCCCGCGCAGCGCCCGCCGCACTTGGGGAAATGTTTAGATGCTCACTGCAAACAAATGCGCAGTTCAGCGTAGCGCTTGAATTTACTGCTTTGACTTGTTAAATCTCCCTAATGGCTCAAGTCCAATGTCAATAAACACAGATCTGAAATAAACCGGCAAGAGACAACAGTGGGGAGGGAAAGGACAGAGGGGGGCCAGGGAAGCAGCCTCGACGAGCTCAGCAGCAGCTCCACTGATTTTGGTAGGGTCGTTTTTCATTCTTATTTATTTCCTTACGTACTTATTTTTGCAACTAAGTATAAACTAAACGCATCCGCGGCAAGGAAAGTGTTCGTTGCAGGCAAAAGACTCTCGAGGAAGAAGCGCTTGAGCCAGGGTTGGGGGTAAGGCAGGAGAGCGCCTGCCTGGCCACGCGCATTTTGCTGCAATTCAGTGTAAGGCATGTGAACCCCTGCCAGGCGATAGTATCTCTCTCTCTCTCATTTTTTTCCCCCTTTTTTCACCCCCCCCCCCCCCCCCCCAGCCGTGTGACAAGACCCCAGCTCGCAGGAGCGGCTCCTGTGCTGCGAGGAGCCGGGCTCCTTCTCACGCAGTCGGTTTCTGCCCGCTCGGTCCGGGCGGGACGCGCCTTGCAGGGAAGCGCCAGCGCTGCCAGGTAGAGAGAAAAGAAATCGCAGAGCCCCAGGAGAGGGATTTCATGGGCGAGCCTTTCCTCTAAGGGCTCCCCGGGAAAGCGGCGAGAGCTGCAGTCATCTGCAGTGCGGAATTATTTCTGAATCTTAATATAAATGTCACTTGGCGCTTTTTTTTTTTAAGTTTTGTTTTTATTAACAAAAAGAAAACGGGGCTGTGAAGCCTTTGAGGAGCTGTATTTGTTTCTTTTAAACTAACAACAAATTATCTAATTAATATGTTTCAATTACAGCATGAAAAAGAGAGGCTTTGGACCGCCTGCAGTGGGTTTACAATAGCCCCAGAGCCCACTATAAGAATTTACAATAACTTCACATCTGTTTCTTTATTTCCCACTTTTCGAGTCTAAAACTCCTCTTGAAATCACTTCAAACCGTGGCCCAAGTTATGAAATATGGTCTCTCTGCCAGAAAAAAAAAAGAGGTGGAAGAGAAAAAAAGGACAAAACTTTGCAGATCGAGGCTTCATTTGCAAGCTAGAAAGTGAAAGCCCCATTGAAGAGCATTAAACAAATATATTAGAATTCTGTCACTTTATGCAATTGAGTAGATCAAATAAAGGGTCCCAGGCCACTTCATTCACTCTCATTCACTTGAATAGAAAATGCAAAGAATAGCAAACCTAGACTGGGCCACCGATGTAGATTTAGCCCTTTTTTTCTAAGGGACAAAAAGGCTGAATTTTCACAAACACATTGCTGACTCGGGGACTAGGAAACCAGCACTGAAACCCCTTTGGAATTTAAATTCATTTTATCTTCCTCTCTCTTCCTGGGTCCGTTTGTGCTACAGTGCAAGCTGCAGTGGCACCCTTGTCTTGACAAAAATACAACTCAGGGAGGAGAAAAAAAAAAAAAAAAAAAAAAAAAAAAAAAAAAAAAAGGCTCCAGATTTATCCCACTGGAGTCAAGTGCGGGCTGCAGGTAATGTTTTTCCTCACAAAGTGGCAGGGAGAAAGAAAAGGAGAGCGCCCACCGTCGCCCTGGCCCCAGGACCCCCAGGCAGGGTGCGGGCTGTGGACTGGGCTGACACTGCGTGTCCTGTTGCACCAAGGGCACAGCACATGCGGAGCAGCTCGCCCAGGGTCCCGCGCCTGCCTGCACCCCAGACCTGGGCCYCGAGCCCCCTCCCCAGGCAGCATCTCTAAGTCAGACCAGCCTATCTGTCACCTGTGTTCTGCTGGGAGCCTGAGCCCTGAGGTGGCAAGGGCAGGATACAGCACATGGGCACTCAGGCAGGGCCCATGTCCTGCTCACTCAGACTCGTGGCACGGTCCTGTCCGCCCACACGCATGTGTTGGAAAGGGTAACTCACACCTCCTCTATAGGCACTGCTAAATAAAAGCTCTTGATTCCATAATATTGAGAAGGGCCTTGGTATTTATTAAGTAGCAACTAGAGTATTTTGCATTAATTAGAGCAGCTCCTCAGAGAGACATCACAGCCAAGAATAATCTCACAGCCC